TGCACAGCAAGGAAGAGCAGGCTTTGGAGCCAGCCAGAAAGGGAAGGAGGGAGGTGGCCTTTTGTGGTAGCCAAGGGGTCCAGTGGCCCCACCCTTCACCAAGAGGATGTCCTGTATTCTGGGGATGTGTCAGTGGCCACCCTACCTAGCCCTCCCCAATCCCTGACCCCAGGCAAGGCTGTTCCCATCCCAGCCCCCCTGGCATCCTTGGCCCTGGGCAAGGTTGCTTATAGTCTCTCAATGATTTAGCTTTAGCTCCCCTACACAGCCTCCTAGGTCCCAGGCCCTGGAAGGGCTCTATTTGGGCCCTAGCCTCTCCTGCTGCAGGGTGCTTTCTAGGCATCCCCACCTGTGGCCTCCATTTCACCCCTATCAGCCACATCTGGTCTTCCAGTACTCTGCCAGCTACAGATCACTGAAAAATCCCTTCTGCAGCTCTTGGGGGTCCCAGCAAACTTCTGCCCAGTAGCTGCTGGCTCTTGCAGCTTACCTGGGTATCTATATTGCCTGGGCTCCCCCTGTTGAACTCCTACTTAGGCTGCAGTTCTTGGTGGGATATCAGGACCAGACTGAGCTCTCTGGTTGAGAGGCCAGGGTTTTAATAAATGGGGCTCCATCCCCTTCAAGTCGTGTGGCCTTCTCCTTGGGTGGGGGTTCCTAATTAACCCAGTGCCCAACCTGCCCTCAGGTGTTGAAGCTTAATTTACTGACCTACAGCCACTGCTCTCTCCCCTCCTGCCCTCTAATCCTAGGGGCCTTCCCTGGCTGCTTGTTTGTCCTGCAGGTGGCTCTTGCCCAGCTGCCTACTTAATTGCAGCCCTCCAGCGCTGGTTTCTTCTCTCTCAAGTAGCAGGGCTTAAGGGTTCCTGCTACCGTTTCTGGTTGCTGCTCCTTCAGCAGCATTGACAGAGAGGGCAGTGCACCTGTGCCACTGCACCCCCTCTGTATCCAGCCCGGGGTGTGCAAACAATTACATATGATTCACAAGACACCCAGAGATTTCAAATAGAAAATAGCATCAAAAACATTTACACATTGTGGTCTTTCTAAGCCCTCTGCAAGAGAAGAATAGCCTTACTGTTTTGCTGTAGTCAAGATACAAGTGAAAGCTAAGAGCTGGCATTTTCTAAATGGTGCCTTGAGTCTAATGAGGTTGTGCACCACCAGCCTAGATCATTCTCCATCCTACTGCTCTTAACCTATCCATGTGGGCCCATACAGCAACTAACAATTCCTGAGCAAAAGGCACAGTTGTGGTAAATCCCCCACAGTTTCCATTTATGTTGAGGACAGTTGTGTGTTCCTATAAACAGAGAGAAGAAGCCTCAAAAAATTACCTGTCTCCTCCAGCCCAGCCAACAGAGCAAGCCCTCTCATATGCTGCCATATATATTAAAGAACTCTGGCAAATCATACTTGGGAGTGCTTTAGGCAGACAAGCTTCCTTGGGTGAATTTGATATCTTTTATTAGACCAACCCAAATGGTTGGAGAATAGTTATTAAGCAAGCTTTTGGGTTCAAAAACCCTTCATCAGGCTAAGGAAGCTGCAGCAGTTGGCGTGTGCTTTATTCACTTGTGCGTCCCACTATCATACACAGAGCAGAGGTAAGAGTGAAATTCCAGATGAGCTGCAGAGTCACTGAAAAATTAAGGCTTCTGTTCTGCAAATGAGCTCCAGGCAAAGAGGACCCTGTGCCAATGGCAAACCAGCTGTGCAGTGGGGACCTAGAACTTGTGTATTCTGGCTAGAAGATAACCAGAGGGGATGATCGTGACAAACACAAACATTTTCTCCAACCTCAAGGAGGAAGGAAACAATTTTCAGGGTGATTTAACAGGTTATAACTAGAAATCATGGGAGGCAAATAAGCAGGGAAAATAAAATGAATGTAACAAAGGGAGCCTAAGACAAATTAACCAGGGGAAGTGATAGAATTTGCATAAAATCAGACTGAAAGCCCATACACACATTACTGTAAGGAATATACTTGTACTGGCCATAAGGGTGATATGGGAACTGATATAACAGAAGGAGCCTGAGGAAGGATACTGTAGTACTTGAAAGTTTGCCTGTGTCTATACCAGTGACTCTCAACCAGGGTGCCATGCACTGTTAGGTGTGCAAACAATTCACAAGATAAAACACAAGATTTCAAACTACTCAGTTGGTCTAACAAAAGATATCTTCTTTGGTTAGATGAGATATCTCATCTCAAAAAGATCTCTCATCATCAAAAGCTCTCTCATCTAACCTGCCAAGATTTCAAACAGGAATCCATAATGTCAAAAACCATCTGACCTGTTGTGGTTCTTCCAAGTTGTTTGCCACAAAAGAACTACTCTATTATTTTTCTGTAATCAAAAATCAAGCAAAAATTAAGAGGTGGCATTTTCTGAGGGTGCCTTGAGTCTAATGAGGTTGAGAACCCCTAATCTATAGCAAACCTAACAATTGTTCCAATAAAAGATATCACCCACAAGAATTCTTGCCTCTCACATATGTCCTGGACCATCAAGGCAACCATATTATCTCAACACTGCCAGCTGATATAATGGCACTTTTTCTACCTTTACTTTCTGACAGGCATGGGGTAGAAAGAGAGCCTGTAAACTAGAGCAGTTTCACCTACTTCCTTATGTGTGGTAGGAGTAGCAGCAACAGAGGTAGGTTGATTCATTAACCCTGTAGAGAAAACTTCTGTTTCCATGTAAAATATCAGGCTTTTCAATTTTGTGTTCTAAAAAGTTTTATAAAAGAAAAGAAAAGAAAAAAAACCACCTGAAAAACAAACATATTAAACAACTGCTCAGGTGTGTAGCCGTTTAGCCCAGTTAGTTAGAGCACAGTGCTCATAACAATGTTTCAGGTTCAATGCTGGTTGGACTAGATGATTTTTTGAAGCTCCATTCCCTATAGCAAAGAAACCTATGATAACTCTGAAACAGGGACCCAAAATTAGATACTGTATATTTTGGTGTAGCAAGATCCATCCATCTATCACTATATATAAGAAAGAGAGAGAGAGATCTCTATATCAATATCTATATATGTTGCTACACTAAAAAGGTTCAGAAATTGCTATCTAGTTCCTTCACTAGGAAAAGTGCTTAATTTCTCATGCACGGAACTTCCCAAAACAGAACAAAATGCAATAATATCCTCCTGATCATGAATGTACAAGCCCTGCTCATCTGCAGATTACAAGTGTGCTTTGTAACACTCAGCTCACCTAGTTACACACAAATGCAGTCAGAGCTGTCAGCATGCTAGCCAGCTTTTCTCACACTTCTATAACTGACCCAGGTTTGCACACTGCAATCTCTGCCATGCTTCCTTACTGCTCTCCTAACCCTAAAAACACTTACACATGTGCTTTCTATTATTACATGCTTTCTATTAACACAAAGCACCATCCACATGTGGGAGATGGGCTGTAAGAAATTGGTTCCATCTCAGGCTCCTGCAAGTGGCAAAACACCATTCAATGTACCATGTCTACTGAACAAACACTGATGGCATACACACGCGAACTACAGCTGGAGCCAGCAGCATGATGACTTTTACTCTACGAACAGGCAGTGAGGAAGACATAGACAGAGAGAACTCAGCTGCTGAAGCCATCTCAATCAAAGCATAACTTCCACACTCCCATGCCAGCAGAGAGCTGAGACCTTAAAGAAGCCAGGTCTAAATCAGTGCATCCAAGCACCTGGTGTAATCCTCTGCAAAGGTGTGAAATAGGTACAAAGTAGTTTGCAGAGGAGGAGGTGGGGGACAGGAGAGGAGTCCTCCATCTCTTTACTGCACTGCAAACCTCAATGCTTAGGGAATTACTAGTGATTTCCAAACACTGCCAATAAGTGCAACTCCTGCAGGTAACATCCAGCCTAACCCGAGTGCAAAACCAAGGCCTTCCAGCCCCCAGTTTATCATTTCCTGGTGCTTGCTCCTTGCCTTCCAGCCTGGATGGCTCCACATCTGTTGGCCAAGACTGCCCCTTGCAGACTGGGGCGGGAAGGGTGCAGTTTTTTAGGCTATCAAACCCACACGCTTGGGATTGAAGTCACACTACCATCACTGGAGCCCTTCCCCGTGCCTTGGGCACACGTTGCACTAGCTTAATGGGGGGTGGACCCAGTTAGCCACAGGAGTCCCGTCTCACCATCCCGAGCCAGGCCTTTTGCACGCACCCAACGCTGACCAGCTCGGACCCACCAGGGACGACTGGTTCCCACCATAAGAGAGGCCGCTGGGGGCACATTAACTAATTCCGGGGGAGAGAAATGAAAGAGAAGACAGGAGGGGAGAGGTTAATAATCGGGGCCAGCAAAATAAAGAAGCCCCCACAGGGGCTGGTGGCTGAAAGCAGCGGCAAGGTCTGAGGGGAGCCGAGCGCGGGGGGGAGGCAGGGATGGGGCTGCAAGTGTCTTTCTCACGGTGGGGGCAGCAGCCAGGAGGGAGCCGCTGGGCT